TTAGTCATTCTGCATTTAATGCTAATTGTACTTGACAATCCATTTCCAATCCCAGAGATCCGTCCTGATTGTGCCACGCGTCCCTGTTTTTCCCTTGCCGTCGGATAGGAGATTTTTTTATATCTGCGCATTTAATGCGTGTAGTACGGTTAGCTTTGGGTAATGATTAATCAGATCTCACTTATTCTCTCCCATCCGTTTGGCAGCGGCCCGATCCCGGAGGCATCCGGTTCCTCTTTTCCCTTACCACCATTCGTTCGGTCTATACCACCAACACAGCTACTGAAGTACGCACCTTGGCCTTTAACGCTAAGCCTTTCCCTTTGTTTATCCTCATAGAGTCAAATCCATGATTTATTTCAAAAGTGCGAAGCTCACTGAGAAGGTCATCAATACTAAGTTTTTGAATTATCTGAAAACTTTCTAGTGCAGTAATCTTGATCCCAAACCTATCTGGTAGAGTTCTCATTAATTTCTGAACTTGTCTAGCTTCTGGGACCGGTTCGCCAAGCATAGCACTTTGGTTTACTAGATCGCAGAACCAAGCATAGTACATGTCAATGGTTTCATCCTCCCTCATACGGATCTCATCGAGCTCAGTTGAGTTTCTTTGGAGCTTTGACGTTTTAACCGCGTTTGTGCCTTCAAACTGTCTTTCCAAGATCCTCCAAGCTTCTTGAGCGGTAGTGCACTAAATTATTATCTTGTGTCGGGTGGGATCTACAACAGACATGATAGCATATAACGCTAAAAAATTAGCCTCTTCTGCTTGCTTTTCATCGTCGGTCCAGATACTCCTTGGTTTTTCAACCAGTACTTTGGTCTCACCACCCTTAGTTTCAGCAGGAGATTTTTCTTGGAGGGGTAAACTCCAACCATTCTCAACAGCCTGCCATGTGCCTTTACCAAGAGATCGAAGGAAGATCACCATCATGGATTTCCAGTACGAGTAGTTGGAGCCATCAAGAAACGGAGGGCGCGTAACAGACATCCCATTATGACTCATGGTGCCCGATACACAGTCCCAAAGATCTTTATCCCGTAGTTAGAACAGGAACACTGCTCTGGTGCCAATTGAAACGTATAATTATCACGAAGTGTGCTATTTGTAGTACGAACTAAATTAAGAACTGAAGAATGCGGAAGCAATAAACCAAAGATTTAAAAACTCCTCAGGGAAGCATCCCACTTCCCCTCAGAGCTCTTTCATTGATAGATCAAACACGAACATAGTTTGGACTTACAAAGACTCGAACTCCCTTCAAGCCTAGCCAACACTACTCACGATCCTATCAACTATTTCTCCGGCCACGTCCCGTGGACTTTTTATCCTACACTTACTCCCTAAGTGTAAAAGTAAAAGATAGTTTGATGAAACAAAGAAACTAAACACAAAACAACTTCAGTTCTTGAGTTTGTAAGAACTCTCGTGCTGAACTGTGTACAACTGAAAAGAATAGAAAATATGAAGCTCAAATATTGCTCTAAAATTTCTCTAACTTCAGCAGCCGCAGTAGGAGCTTCCTCTAGGGTATTTATATGAACTCCTTAGGGTTGGAGTCTTCTACAAGGCATAGGACTCCAAGCTTGATTTCCTTCCATAATTGTAGCTCAACTTACGTAACTGAATCTTTCATTCTCTCTCCTTGATCTCCTTAACATGCACGCCTCTTCTTCCTTTAATTCTTTCAATTCCGATTTCCTACAAAATAAAATACCATAATAAGATCCATAATATCTTATATATGGAATATAAAATAAACTCAATTAAGGAAATAAAATAATTGAAGATCTTCCATTTTTCTGTGATTCCAAGTACTTGTTCGAACTGACGAACTAATGCCAAATAAAAATATCTTTCAATAACAAACCGTCATATATTATCCATCCCACCTAAAAGAAAGAAGAAAAAATAAATCTTCTTGAAAATACACATTGGCAGAAAAACTAATTGTGGGCGCACATGTAAAATGGGGCCTGGTCATTTGGTGGACCACGATTCACACATGGCCCACAAACTAACTTCAATGTTATTCAAGAAAATAAAAGGTAAAATTACGTACATGTAGTCTAGTGTATATATATTTACATATATACAACCATTGCAAACTTTAATCAATAAAGGACTCTATTGTGATTTTTATTGCACAATTACGAGATTTCAATTAAATACAATCTGATGAGTTACTCTCTTTCCATATCTCGATCATGGCAAGAAGCACCCGACATCAACGCTAAAAAAATAGAAGCCTGGAAACAACCATCAGCCGGCCGATCACCGTCGAAGATAGATCTCTACTGTGTCTGAGCCTGTTCTTCCTCAATTCACGACTCCTTCACAGCAGCCATGGAAGCCTTCTCCGAACACCCTGTCATTTAGCCTCCCCCCTTATTCCCCAATTTTGTCCGACCTAATTATATCCGCGAATCGATTGTCCTCGCCATGGATCTCGATTTATTTCACGGGAAAAATATAAACGATCGTGTTGTTTTGTGAAATTGATCGAGAAGTATACGCTGAGAAAAAAATCGAAGGTATATTCATGTTTATGTTTTTTTTTTTTTGGTGATCAATTACGAATTTTTTGTGTTTTTTTTTTTTTTTTTTTTTTTTTTTTTTTTGTTTACTTTGTGATTTCATTACGTAACTTCGTGTTGGTGTTTTTTATGTGGTGTTATATTACAATAGTGGTTTTTTGTTCTTTAATTTTGATAGTTTATTATGTGGACTATTTTCAGGAATATGTGTTCTCGAAAAGATTCGGAAGATGATGATTTTACAGAGGAATCACCGAACCAGCTGCAGACTATGTTGAAAACAGTGAAGTATACGGAAGATAAATGGGAAATGAACACTCCAGAACACTCCGAAAATAGTGAAGTATACGGAAGATAAACGAGAAATAAACACTCCAGAACACTTGGATTTTTGGTCGATGGATACATGAATACTGATATTGCGGTCGGTGAAACTTTCAAAGATAAAAGTGTCCATATGTCTTAATGCTTCAATTAAAGGGTGGAATCATTGTAGGCCAACTATTTTTGTCGATGGTACTTTCTTTAGTTTCGCGTATGGAGGTACGCGAAGGCCGGTGTTTTAGATGGGGTGTGCTTTGGCGGTGGCGAGATGGGCTAGCTCTGCTTACGGCCACGTAACTGTGATGGTGGGAATTTCAGTTCTGATTATCTGAGTTTTGGCAGTTATTCGATGTTTGGTATGAGAAAAGCAAATCTTTGGCAAATAAAATCAATATATTCATCAATGGCTTGTGTGTGACAATATTTTGTTTATCTACCGTTTATGTTAAGTATAACTGTACATATACTTCCTCATAACCACGAAAAAATATGTTTAGGTATATTGTATATATACATTAGATAAACATGGTCTAACATTTCTCTAATATTACATGTATACTTATACATAAGATAAACACGATATAAACAACACCAAAATGGTATAAAATACATAATACACAATTCTGGACGAACGACTCGACATCTAAAGTGCGGACAGGCTGCGAACGAATTTCTCGGTGACGAACTGTCAGGTTACGACTTCGAATTTCTGGCACGGCTATTAGGCTCTATTTTCTAAAATTGAAGTTTTTTTTGTACAATGTTTCGCTCGCGGGGTTGAAATTGGGATGTGCGACGAGATCGGGAGCGAGTTATCCTTGCTTCGTCTTCACTTTTGGAGGGTTTGCTCTCGATTATGTTTTCCTTTGCCATTGTTCTTCACAATTTCACCGGCAAAATATGGTGCACGGCGGTTTCGAGACGGCTTGTCGGAGAAAGGTCCGGGGTTCTGGGTAACCCGTCACCTTTGGACGACTGCTCGGAAAGACGTCCTTTTGATGCTGGAGGTTTGCGGGCGATGGTTCGGTT